GGTGGAATCCCTGGAATGCAAAGATGATCATCATCATCACCGGCGAACGAAGAAGTAGGGAGGTATGAGAAGAAGGAGAGCATTCTAACAGAAGAGGTGAAGAAAATGAAGGAAGGAAGCGAAAGAGCACGAGTGACAGGAATGACAGGAGAAATCAACGTCATGTCGAGAACGAAAGCAGAGAGAGGGGGCTGTAGGGAGAGAATGAGAGGAGAGAGAAGGTGAGAGGAGCGGCGAATAGCCTCGAATCGGAGCCAAAACGGGTCGGAGGAATTCACGGTGGCTGGATCGAGAGGAAGAAGGTGGAAGTCAAGGAGGTTGACTTGAGGAAGAGAGGATCGGAAGCGAGAGAGAAGCGGTGACACGGACGTTGTTATGGGCAAGAAGAGCGGCGAGTCTGAGAAACGGCGTGAGGTGGCCCATGCCGGCGCTGGGAAGGAGAGCGACGTGAGCATTAGAAGCAGACATGTTTGGTGTGTCCAGATTGGTCGTCGGAGATGGTGGTTTCTTGAGGGCATACTATTTTCCTATTTATAGATCTTCCCGGGAGTCAATTAATTAAAATGTGTGCAAAGCTTATCTTACAAAAAAATATACCCCTCCGGTTTTTAATATAAGATTCATTTAACTAATTTGATTAGATTAAGAAAGTTAGGTAAGTTAGTTAATTATAAGAAATGTGACATGTTTTTTCTAAAACACCATAATCATCTTTCTTAATACCCCATCTCCTTCTTCTACTTGGTTATGGTTGAGGGAGTATCCATAAGGGTAATTTAGAGAAAATTGATAAATATGAGAAATTGGTTTTATATTTAGGACCAAAATCAACTTAATAATTGAGTCATATATTAAGGATTGGAAAAGTAATATGTAACATTTTATTTTCTTTTCTTTTTATTTATGTATTATCATAAAAAAAATTAATTATTTTTTGTATATTCATTTCTCATTCTCTATCCTCATTTCCTCACGTGACTTGTTTTACTTTTTCAGTTTTTTACTTTTTTCCGGTCTTTCATCTTTGTTTCCTCCCACACGCACCTGTCAAATCATATATTCTTCCGGTCCTTAATATAAGACCCATTTAATTAATTTGATTAGATTAAGGAAGCTAGGTAAGTTAGTTAATTATAATAAATATAACATGTTTTTCCTAAAATACCATAATCATCTTTCTTAATACCCCATCTCCCTCTTTTACTTGATTATGGTTGAGAGCGTATCCATAGGGATAATTTAGAGAAAATTGATAAATATGAGAAATGAATCTTATATTTAGAACCAAAACTAACTCAACAATTGGGTCCTATATTAAGGACCGGAGGAGTACTATTTTTTATTTTAAATATAAGATTTTATTTTTAGTTTATAAATAAGATTTTATAATTAAAAACAAAGGCAGTATTTGCTTGTTATTTTTCTCATCTGCACGCCAATCTCTCGTCTCCTTTCCCTTCAAGTCTTCCCTCTTTTCTCTCTTCCTCCTTACCTTCCATCCAAGGTGGATCTCTTTCTCTCTCCTCTCTTTTTCCTCGCCTTCCATTAGCAATACAAGCCAAGTTGAATACTAAGATGGAGATAACTAGTATGGACAACCATGGAGTGTGAATGACGATGATGGAGCAAGGAGTGAAGATGACATCACGACCATGAACACTAGTAAAGTTGGACTAGTGGCCGGTTTATCAGTTTTTGGTGTGAATCGATTGGTTCGATTCGATTTTTCATTTTTTTGTGTCGTTAATAATCCTTTTTAAATTTTACTTTTGTTGACTTAAAATGCAGAAAAAAAATAAAATAAATAGGTGATGTTTTTCAATTTTATTCTTGTTTGTTGACTTAATAAATTTAGAGAAAGATAAAACAAATACTAGTAAATAAGAAAAAATTTAAATATTTATTTAGAAAGATACTCATTTAGTGATAGATATTACCTCAAAAAAGAAAATGGTAGGCAAAAGATGTTAGTTAAAATGCGTGCACCAACCTCCTCAACCTCATATTGATAATCTATTGGAAAAATTAATTTACAAGTCCTTATAGTTTCATCCAATTTTAAATTAGGTTTTTATAGTTTTTTTATTTTATTCCATCCTTATTGTTTATTCTGTTAGTGGTAGAGGTGGGAATCAGGACTGGCCCTCCAGGACTGAAATTTTAAAAATATCCCATTTTGCTAGGCCCGGCCCTTAAGCTACAGGACTCAGGGTCGGCTCGCGGGTTTTTGACCCGTTTAAAAAAAATGCTATTTTTTATATTTATCATATTTTTTATAAAAAATAAAAATAAATCAATGAAATTATTAATAAAAGACATAAATATGAATAAAATTAAGTCACAAATATAAAATATCATTATATATAAATATCTATCAACATCCAAGAACATCTAAAACATTCATTAATAATAAGATAACAACATCCAAAAGTTTTATCTATAGTGCAATTGTGTAATAAATAAACACTATCATTAATCTTTTGAAACTTCATCATTACTATAATTAATTACTCTTCTTCATAAATATGCTTTTCTTTTGTAACAAAAAAAATCAAGTTTTTTTCTTTATAGAAATTTTACTTTTAAATTTTGCAATCTAACTATTATTTTACTTTAATGTGAGAAACATTGTTGTTGAAACTCATGAATTTCTAATTCAAATTATAGAATCACATGTTATATAAGTATAAAAATACTCTATTATCAAATATATATACAGTTTAAAAATATCAACGCATATAATATAAATCAAATTATTATTAAAGTCTAAATTAACCTATTTTTTAAAAATTTAATTGGATAAATTATTGTCTAAAACTAAATTTAATTTTAAAATGATAATAATAACTAAATATTTGAAATATTATTAACAATGTAAAAAATTAATAATATTAGAATTATATAAAAAATTTTAAAAACCAAAAAAAATTATAAAAGGGCTTAAAAGGGCCGGCCCGTGACCCTCCAGGGCTAGCCTTTTAAGCCCTCGGCCTTTTAGGGCCAACCCTCAAGGACTTATTTTTTATTTGAAGGGAAAAATATTAAACCCGACCCTCATAATTTCAGGGCCTAAACGGGCCGGCATGACGGATTCGGCCCGGTTTCCCGGCTCTAGTTAGTGGTGTTAGTCCTCCTGTCCAAAAAAAAAAAACTTACAAACGCCGTTAATTTGAGTTAATGGGGACGAAGTGGCCTGAATAAAACCTGACTAAGCACATTGTGCTGTGGGTCAGTTTCGGGCGAAGGAACTACGGGAACCCAAGGGATTTCACAAAGTCTTCTTGGAGAGCCCCTCGTTACCTAGTTCTTTGCGTTCACCGCCTATCAGCAATTGATGAAGCTAGTCCAGGATAATTCACGCCTCTACGCTTTTCCTTCTTTCTTTGTAACAAGGTTTATTTAAACCCCACACTAACCTGCTCCATCCCAAACTCGTTTCTTACTTCTTAACAAACCATTCATTATTCAATACACACATACATTGAGTTCAACATATGCTTTGCCTCAATGCCAGGAAAAAAAAAAAAACATATGCTCTGTTTCTGCATTTGATTTTTATATATATAATCTCTTGAAAAATTTCAGTAGTTTGTTCCCTCAAACTCTGCGGAGAAGTAGAACAAGATGAAAAATCTGTATTCATGTGCGGTTCACTTTTTATGTATCTCAGGGTGGGGAATATATAACGCGCACACACTTGCTTCTTGGATGTCACTTATGAACGAACATATAATAAAAGTGCGATGGAAAAGCTGGAGAAACAATCTTATGAATCATCATAGAGTAGCTCTTGATATGAACTCCAGCTTTAAGGGGTCAAGTTAGTAAATAAGGTGTTCACACATGAGATGGGCTTGTCTTCTCCAGCGCGACAAATGCTCCACAAAATATTACCCTGTTTTTTGAAACAAAGAACAGGGTAGTGAGTGACCCTGCGAGGGACTTTGTGAGGTCAATTGAGTTGGAAGTTTAATAGTTCCTTCGCCCCAAACTGACTCACAACACTGCGCCAGTTGCTTTCACGTGCCAGGAGGCAAATGAAGATTATATGTGTGTGCTTAGTCAGATTTTATTTAGGACACTTCATTTATGTTAACTCAAATTAATTAACGGCGGTTTTAAGGTTTTTTGACAGAAGGACTAACACCACTACCAAAATAAATTATAAGAATGGGATAAAAAAAAAACTACAAGAACCTAATTTAAATTTGAATGAAATCATAAGGACTTGCAGATCAATTTTTCCTTAATATTATTTCATCTTTACTTGCTTTTTTTTCCCCTCTCTCTTGTGTAAAATTAGCTTCTAGGATAGAATTAGGAAATTTTTTTGTCTTAATTCTTGTCCGTTATTCGCTGGTTTTCTGACTTGACTTTGTACTCCTCCGGTCCTACTGTATTTAGGACCGGAGGAGTATCTTTTATTTTATTATTAATATATTTTGATTTTTGTCCAAAAAAATTGGGCAAAGTAATTTTTTATTCACAAGTATCAAATTTACGATTTATAATAAAACAAGAAAGACCATCAGATTATTTATTTATTTATTTCTCTTTAAGTTATTGTCTGCCCCCTTTAATTTCAAACTTTCTATGAGTAAATACCATTCATATATGTCGGCATACTTGGACACATATAGAGTTGTTAAATTTCTCTTAGTTTCTAATTTTTATCATTTGTTATGATTCGTCTCTATTTTTTTATTTCACTAATCAAATTAATGAGTTTTAAATTTTTTTAATTTCGATTAACGGTCAGAATCAAGCTAAATGAACACGGTGAATATGGTTGGAGACTCAGATAAGCTATAAATATGTTAGCACCTACCAGTATTTCAAATAAGTCTTTAATAGAAGGATTTTTGCGTTTAATTGAGGGGGGAAAAAACAAGTATGTTATGTTTCCTACATGTACACTCCTTTCATAATAAAACAAGTATATAATAAATGAATCTACAAATTAAACCTGACCATCAGTCATTTCTAAAGACCGAGGCTTTTCAAAATAACTCGGTCTTTGAGAGCTCCTTCAGTTCTTCTAGCAATAAGCAAAGCTCATAGCTATAATGAAGCAATGTATCACCGGCATGAAACTCTTGAACGATACCATTCCCTTCAACCCAACTACAACCAGGCTTTCTTCTAACCTTACTAGTTCTCATCAGCTTCCTTACTTCTAATGCCTCTTTCCACATGTTTGCAGCATAATAAGCATTCCACAGAAGCATATAAAGACCATCATCACTTGGTTCTAACTCAATCACCTTCCTTGCTGCTATTACAGTCAAGTTCAAGTTCCCATGGACTAAGCAAGCTGTGAGGAAGGACCTCCAAATTGCAGTATCAGGTTCCATAGGCATCAGTTCAATCATCTCTTTTGCTTCTTCAAGAAACCCTGCTCAGCCAAGAAGATCAACTAGGCATCCGTAATGCTGAATGTTGGGTTTCAAATGATGGTAATGAATCATTCTGTTGAACAACATTTTCCCCTCAAGAACTAACCCTGAATGGCTACAAGCTGTCAAAAGTGACAAAGGGGTAGCCTCATTTGGAGTTACCTTTGATTCTAACATTCGAGAGTATGCCTCCAAAACATGTTGTCCTTTCCCATGATATGCGTACCCTGATATCATTGTTGTCCATGAAAATACATCCTTATCCAAGATCTCATCAAATATTCTTATAGCCAAGCCAAGCCTCCCACTTTTTGAGTACATATCCATCAAAGCATTCTTCACTGTGACATCCAACTCAAGGTTTGTTTTGTTAACATTTCCATGGATGGACAGACCAAAATTAAGAGTGCCAGTATCGGCACATGCAGAGAGTATTGCCACTATTGTAGCTGCGCTAGGATGAACCTCTATTTTCTGAAAGAGCTAAAGAGCTTGAACTGAAGCTCCTCCTTTAACATAACCAGTTATCATTGTTGTCCAAGAAACCGTGTTTCTTTCAGGCATTTCATCGAACAATTGACATGCAGAATGCATATCATTAGACAGAATATACCCATTAAACAGAGTAGTCCAAGCAAAGATATCCTTTAATCTCTGTTTCTGACACTAAGACTGCCACTTCAATTTTCCCATTTGGACAATACATATCAATAAGTCAAAATAAAAGTCAAACAAAATCTTTTATTAAGGATTCAAAATAGTATAATATTCGTTTGTTTTGGGTGATGAGCAATTAAGCCCTACCCGCAAACTTATTAATTATTATTGACCATCCATTCCATAATTAAAATTAATGCATTATTAAATAAAACCATCACTTACATGATTTTAAATGGAGCCTTTTACTATTCAAGTGATTATGATATGCTTAAAACTGAATCATTGGAGTCGTTACACTTAAAATCAGCAAAATATGCTTAAACTTTATTCTTGCATTTCTTAATTCACATATACGTCTTATATATGAAGAGGATGGCCTTAATCTGTTAATCACTGTAAGCATACAAATTTTTCGATTGGTTCGGCACATGAGATGTCTAATTAAATTATTATTAATCTAAGAATGTTCATCCCTTTAATAGATTATTCTTCATCTTCATTATACCGATATTAATATTTAATACTCTACTTCAACTTATTCTTTTTTACAGGATACAAGTGATCGAATTATATGTAATTAAAATTAATTAAAAGTAGTAAATATCTAAAAAACGCACATTATCTTTTAAAAATACTTTTTTTTTTCAGAGGGAGGTAGTGTGAGATAATTAATGTGGTGAGATTAACAAATAATTAACGAGGCAAAAAAAGAATTATATTAAAAAAATTTGATAAATTATTAATGTATTTTAGAAATGAAAACATTCCATTCTAAAAAATTTTCAACCAAAAGTATATACTCCTCCGGTCTTTAATATAAGATTCATTTAACTAATTTGATTAGATTAAGGAAGTTAGGTAAGTTAGTTAATTATAAAAATATGACACATTTTTTCTAAAATATCATAATCATATTTTTTAGTACCCCCTCTCCCTCTTCTACTTGATTATGGTTGAAAGAGTATCTATAGGGATAATTTAGAGAAAATTGATAAACATGAAAAATGGATCTTATATTTAGGATTAAAACCAGTTCAACAATTAGGTCTTATCTTATCTTAAGGACCGGAGGAGTATTTGGTATAAGATTTGAATTTGATCCATTAATGTAAAAATATATCTTTAGTTCTTTAATTTTAAAATTATTGTTAATTTTAAATGATGATTTTTTTAACAATCATAATTATTTTATAATTTAAATTTAATATGTTAGTATCTTAGAATATTTTAATCAATATTTAAAATCTCAATGTCATTAACTTTTGTTGCTAATTTTTAAATTAAATGAGTAAAAATATATTTTGTAAAGTGAACAAAACAAATTAAATCTTTACATAAAGTTAAAGAACTATAAATGTATTTTTTGCGAAATTTTCTATGTAAATAGGACAAAGGTATTAATTATGGAAATGTAAAAGATTTTGTCGAAACGAAAACCGCTAGTTGTTAGAAAATTATAATTCGGAGTTACGTACGTACTCTTAACAAATGAGTTTTGTGAAGAAAAAAATCTGGCAGTTGACTTAAAATACAGGGAAAAAAATAAAATAAATAAGTGATGTTTTTCAATTTTATTCTTGTTTGTTGACTTAATAAATTTAGAGAAAGATAAAACAAATAAATAAGAAAAAATATAAATCATATTCTTAATACTTTTTTTAATAAGGGCAAATATTAAAAAAATCATGAATTTTGTTTGTATACAAGGGACTTATAAATAGTGACTGTGTGATAAATAAATAGTGAGAAACTAAAATTTAAATATTTATTTACCTCAAAAAAGAAAATGGCAGGCAAAAGGTGTTAGTTAAAATGCGTGCACCAGCCTCCCCGGCCTCATGTCGATAATCTATTCCTTCTCATGTTTGGCTTGGGCGTAAGCTGGTTTGGTTGGGCGTGAAGGAGTAATAAGTAATTGTGTAGTTGATAAGATAAGCAATTTTATGCGCTCAAATCATTATTAAATACTAATAATTAATTATCATCATATTCAAAGTTTTTCTAATCATTTCCCGTTGATTCTGTGTAGGGATGTTTAACTGTGTCCCGTCCCAGTGTCCCACCCAAAAGCTTTTGGGACAAGACGAAAGTGGGATAAAACAAAATTGTTTCGGGACGGGACGGAATGCGGGACGGAAGTATGCCGTCCCAATATATTATTTTTATTTTTAATTGTTATATATTTATTTTATTTATTATTGTAATAGTATTTTGGTAATGATATTTATCAATTGTTATTTTTTATTTGTTTATAAGTTGTTTTTGTATGGATTACATAATATTCTTTGTAGTGAATATTTTAGGTTTATTTATTTTTTGTCTCTCATGATTACAAAAAATATTTTTCTTTGTCATTGTTTCGTCATTTTTTTATAGTTTCCTCACAGTTTTTATTATAAGTTTCTACATTTCTTATATTGTTAGTTTTCAAATTAAAAAAAAAGAGATAGGACGTCTCGGTCCTGTCCCAATTAGGACGAGACGCTATTAGGACGGGACAGGACACGAGACGAAAAAGCCGTCCCATCCCAATTATCGGGACAGGACTGAGACGGGTCGTTCCTGTCCCGTCTCGTCTCATGAACACCCCTAATTCCGCGTTGCCTATGTCTAAACCACAAAAATCATGTATCCGTATGATCGACTTCAGTTTTTACACTAATATTTGCACTCTAATCAAATTTCACCTAGGCAAAATCCCTTTGGTATCAATGAGTTTGGGCAAACTTACTCATACACCTAGCATTGAGATTTTATATTGTTGGAATATGTTTAATACTCCCCTCATCTTTTCATTTTCTTATAATATTCTTCTAGTCCTATTTATAATCATTTACAGCATATTTTATTAAAACAAATATAAATAAATATCATTAACTACATCTTAAAATTTAACAACTTTTAAATTTTACCTATAAGAACAAAATTTACAGAATAATAAGTTAAAGGTAAAATTTTATATTCATACAAAAAATTTAAATACAAAAAAATTTAAGAATGTGACTTATAAATAAGACAAATTATTTTAAAGAGTATTTTGAAATTCTATTTATAAGAAGTCATACAAAATTAGATATAATATTTTTTAAACCAAAATCCCAAACAATAGTCCTAATATTCTTTAGGTATCAATGAATTTAGTTAAAATTACTCTAATATTAATTTTGATTTGATTAAGATGAAAATTCACGTAGATATCAATATTAGTGTGCACTAATATCACATTGATTCTAAGCACTAGATATAATAAATGAATCTACAAATTAAACCTAACCATCAGTCATTTCTAAAAACTGAGACTTTTCAAAATGGCTCGGTCTTTGAGAGGTCCTTCAGTTCTTCTAGCAATAAGCAAAGCTCATAGCTATAATGAAGCAATGTATCATTAGCATAAAACTCTTGAACAATACCATTCACTTCAACCCAACTACAACCAAGCTTTCTTCTAACCTTACTAGTTCTCATCAGCTTCCTTACTTCTAATGCCTCTTTCCACATGTTTGCAGTGTAATAAGCATTCCAAAGAAGCACATAAAGACCATCACCACTTGGTTCTAGCCCAATCACCTTCCTTCCTGCTATGACAGCCAAGTTCAAGTTCCCATGGACTAAGCAAGCTGTGAGGAAGGACCTCCAGATTGTAGCATCAGGTTCAATAGGCATCAGTTCAATCATCTCTTTTGCTTCTTCAAGAAACCCTGATCGGCCAAGAAGATCAACTAGGCATCCATAATGTTGAAAGTTGGGTTTTAAATGATGGTAATGAATCATTCTGTTGAACAACATTTTTCCCTCAAGGACTAATCCTGAATGGATACAAGCTGTCAAAAGTGACAAAAGGGTAACCTCATTTGGAGTTACCTTTGATTTCAACATTTGAGAGTATACCTCCAAAGCATGTTGTCCTTGTCCATGACATGTGTAGCTTGATATCATTGTTGTCCATGAAAATACATCCTTATCCAAGATCTCATCAAATATTCTTATAGCCAAGCCAACCCAAGCCTCCCACTTTTTGAGTACATATCCATCAAAGCATTCTTCACTGTGACATCCAGCTCGAGGTTTGTTTTGTTGACATTTCCATGGATGGACTGACCAAAATTAAGAGCGCTAGTATCGGCACATGCAAAGAGTACTGCCACTATTGTAGCTGCGCTAGGACAGACCTCCATTTTTCTAAAACAGCTCAAGAGCTTGAACTGGAGCTCCTCCTTTAACATCACCAATTATAATTGCTGTCTAAGAAACCACGTTTCTTTTAGGCATTTCGTCAAACAATTGACATGCAGAATGCATATCATTGGACAGAATATACCTATTAAACAGAGTAGTCCAAGCAAAGATATCCTTTCATCTCTTTCTTTCGAAGACTAAGATTGCCACTTCAATTTTCCTAATTCGACAATACATATCAATCAGCGCATTACCCATAATAGAATTCACGTCTAAATGATTTCTCAAGATCATCCCGTGAATGGCCCTCCCTCTGATCAAATGATTGGCACGGCCACATGATGATAAAGTTCCGACAACCAAAAAGCTATCGGGTCTGAATCCACTGTCTATGTAAAGGGAAAAGACAGCGAGGGATTCGGCAGGAAGATTAGAGCGGAGGTAGAGATTAAGGAGGGATGCCCAAGACACAATGTCTGGATGTTGAATCTGGCTGAAGATATTTTGAGCATCTCGTAGCTTGCCCAAATTCTTGTAAGTTTCTAGAAGATTGCAAGCCAAAGACTGGAAATTGGGTAGACTTCCAAGCATCACAGAGAGGGCATGGATTCACTTGAGCTGCTTAAAGCTGGTACATTTCTCTAGGGATCTTTGCAAGCATTTATAGTTCATCGATCATTGACAGATGATTATAAAGTGAGAAATTCGTCAGTATTAGAAATGAGACAAGGGAAGACGGTCTCAACACAATGTAGATATTCCTAGAAAATGTGAATGATGATGACATACATTGAGTAGAAATCCAATTTATAAATTTTTTTACATCACATGGATATTGAGCTATCTGGAACACTTGGTAAAAACACGGAGCAAAGGTTAACCTTAACGAATACTATCTTAATCATATTCAATTCTCTTGAAGTAAATACGATCTAGAAGAGAGAGATTATCCTTGTCATCAACCCTTTTAAAAAAAATCACTGGATCTTAACTATTTTGTTGAAAGTGTAAGGATATAAAATTGCCCACTTGCTTCATATAAAGCTCCCCTGTGCATGTACTATAAGAATGGTTGATCATCCAAGAAGATGGGTGAATTGGATGTTAATTAAAATTAAAAACCTTTTCATAATGTAATGAAATTCATAAGAAATTCTGAATATAAAAACAATAAATTGACATAAGCGTAATCACAATAGTAAAATAGTTTAGTGGGAAATATACAGAGGTAAGGGAAAAGAAGATGCAAACTGTAATTTATCCTGGTTCGGTTCTCACTAACCTGCGTCCAGTCCCCAGGCTCTTCCTGAGATTTTCAATCCACTATCTCCCTCAAGTTTAACACAAGTACTTGAGAATCGCTATAACCACAAGTTTGATCTAGGTACTTGTGACGCCACTTACAATCCTTAGACTAATCAATCTATTCAACAACAACCTCACATTGAGGTAAATACTCCCCCTTACACACCGTAAGGATATAATCTGATAATGATAACGAAGATTGAATATTTCTTCTCTCAAAGAAGTGATAGATGACTCTTAAGCACATCTGGAAAACTCTCCTCTCTATCTTACGAATATATATATTATAGTTTTTGAAGTACAAAGAAATGTAGTTTTCTCTTAGAGCTCTAAATCAAAATATGTTGATTTGGCATTTTAGCATTTGATGTTGTAAGCTCATACTCTCTTGCTTTTTCTCATTTTAAATGCTCTTCTATTTATAGATGATATTAGGCATTTGACCGTTGAGCATCTTCTTCCCGTTTGACTCAAAGAGTATGACAGTTGAAACTAGCCGTTGGAAGCTTTTGACAAAAGTTTATTCTTCATGTCATAAATTCGTTGTGACTCTTTACCTGAAATAATTTGATCGATGTCTGGATCGATAATCCCTTAATCGATCAAGTTATCGATTAAATATCAGAAAAAAGACTGAATTAGATATATGCATTTATCGAATAGATTATGGATCATACGATGATCAAACACATGATCGATAAATGATAAAACATGAATATAGTGAACTCTAAATGAATTATGCAAGAACTATCTTTTTCAAGTTATGTTTGCCTTCGTATTCTTTCAATAGAGAGTTATGTGTCAAAGGAAGGCTAAAAAAAGCTTCAAGATAAAGAGATAAAAGATTTTGAAGATTATTGTGAATAGCTATTGTGAAATAAATTGGTTTAATGATCGAACAAATGATCAAAAAATGTTTGATTGATCATATTATCGATAAAGCTAAGTATGAGAGAAATATATTTTCAAAGTGTGTTGATCGAATACCTTATCGATAAATGGTTGATAGAAAAAGTGATCGGAAAAAGATTTTAAAGAAACTTTCACAATGAAGTTACAAAATAGATGATGATCGATTAATGATTAATCGATTAAGTGATCGATAAATGTTTGTTGAAAGATGTTTTCAGAAAAGATTAGGGAAAGACCTTGATTGATCAAGTTATGTGAAAAGAAAATACAGAGGTCTTGATGACCGATCATTCTATCGATAAATGAATGATCGAAAAGTGATATGAAAATAGCTCAAAACAGATAAGTGCAGTGAAGGTGTTGATGATCGATTATTTGATCAATAAATGATTGATCGATTAAAGATCTTGAAAGAATACTTTCACCCAACATATTATCAATTAACCAGAAGTAAATTATCATACAATGTTCGAACAAGTTATCGATAAAGAAATGATCGATAATACATAAACTATTTAACACAATACCTGAGTTAAGGAAGCTTACCAAATTATCTGAGTCATTATCAATTATGACTTGATCGATTACGTGATCAATAATTTAACAAATATGGAGATTAAAACTTTTCAAATTTGCTTGATAATTTTATCGATAAATCCCTTTATCAATAATGTTATTGATAAAGTTGCAGATGTAAAAAAAAATATTCCTCAGTAACTCGATAACTTTATCAATTAACCTTTAATCAATAATGTTATTGATTACTTGTGCTTTCAGATTTTCAAAGATAGATTATAGCTTGAGCACCTTAGTAATACATATGAAGATAAAAGAGAAGAATTGAAGAGATAGTACTAGGAACTCAATAAAGTGATCGAGTATGTAGTTGCTTGATCATCAACTCGAACATTAGTTTACTCGATAACTGGCTCGAGTGACATCTGATAGTGGCTTTTCATTTTCTCATTTCTTCTAGTGCTTTTACTCAATAATATGTTTGAGTAGCATGTTGCTCGAGAGCTTAATCGATCAATGTAGAACTTCTGGTCTTTGCCTCAATAAATTCGAATTCGAATTCAAGCAAAACGAAGGTCAACTTTAAGTGATCATGAATCTTCCAATTCAACTCCAAATTTTACAAATGACCTATCCCCAAAAAGATCTTTGAGTCTACTTTCTAATGTAACAAAAATCACCCCAAAATTCATTGTACTCACAAAGTTATCTTCATCATAGTGACTGAAGGTCAGAATAAAGGTGTTAAACCTAACTGCAATGTTTTGAACAATATATCTCCCTCATATGAAAGTCTTTGAAGTTGATCTTGGCGTCCATGAACCGTGTTTTGAGTCTAATTTTATATAAATCAAGTTTCACCTCAAACAGATTTGTGGTTTAAGAGATATTAGAGAAATACCGAACCTGTGTCAGAGCTGAACGAAAAACAGGGCATAACAGAGTATGTGTTTACTCAATAAATTGATCGATAAGTGTATACTCGAGTTGTTGATCGAGTAATGCCCATGAAATCATCTCTGAAGCTTATTTTCAATGCTTATATGAAGGGTGACTCAATATATAATGATATAACTTCTAGCTTGTGCATTTTAGTTTCCGATTGAGTCATTCAAACTTCTAATTGAACATAGCAATCTCTAATATCAAATTTATGAATTTGAATCTTGATATTTCTATTTGATTTTGTAAGTTCTTCTTTTCTCAATCTCTTCTTCTTCTTCTTCCTCTTGATCATTCTCTATAACTCAAAGTCCAACATAATAGCTCCTTTCTTTGCTTGAGGAAACTAGTCAAGATATTAAATACAGTAATTAGTCAAAGCATGAGATAAATAATTTATGTAAACTTTTTGCTCTATTATTTGATATCATCAAAACTAATCATATCTAACATATACTTTGTTCAAAATAAAAAATCCCTGCACATATTACTCTTGCACACCATGTCTGATACTTGATGCATTCACAAGATGCTTCGACGAAGCAAGACTCTAGTTCACACAGGAGTTGAGAGAGTTACGCTTTGATGATTCAGGGGTAATAAGATTGTAATTTACATAGTTGACTTGCTCGTTGGTCTTGTAAATCCCTTCAAGCAGCACGCTAAAGAAGACCAATATAATTATCGATCGTCAGTATCAAGAACTTAGGACTTACTTCTGAGGAGGGATGAAATGTGCTAGCTAACACCTCCATCCACTCAAGCTGGTCGTGCCATTCCCACAAGTTTGCGGGTTTGAAACTCCAGAGCACTGTGGGAATTCGGCTACACTTCGTTGGTGACTGCAAAGTTAATCATTCTGAGAAGCTCCATTTGTTGGCGTATAACGTATTGTTGTCCTGTAATTTATCCAGGTCCTCAGAGAGTCCCTTTCTTTTCTTTGTATAGATGGGATCGTTGATGGCGAAACGAGAAAATTTACTGCTTCCTTCGAGCTTTAGTTTTTTTTTAATAAGATTTAATTGACTAATTTAGAAAAATTTAGAGAGTTATTGAATCACTTAATTATAACATTTGTTACATGATTATGATCATATATTATTATATTATATACTAATTTATAAGAGTAACAAATTACTGCTTTAGTTTTATTTATAAAGCAAAGAGATACCTTTTTTTTAGTTCTATTTATAAGTCATTTCATTAAATTTCTAATATGAATATATTATTTTGTTCTTCATTTATTATAATATAGATGGTTAATTTTTTTTAAACATGTATATGTTAAATAAAATAAAGTTGAAAAGTTGTTATATTTTAATAGAGAGTTACTGCAATTCATGTGAAACATGTTAGAAGTACCTTATAAATAGAACAAGAACAGTAGTTTGGAAAAAACTAAATAATAAATATAAATACTTTAAGATAATTTATTAACTTTTCTTTCATTTTAAATAAATTAAATGGGTTTTATATTAAAAAAGTGTTTGGCAAACTTTAAAAAAATATTTTTGGGTTTTAAACCATGATTTGGCTTGAAAACCATCCAAATACCACCCATTTTAAGTATGAGAAACCAAGGTTTTGGAAGAAGTGAAAAATTTTCACTTTTTCGTGACTTTTGGGACAAGATGGATAGAGAAAATGTGGCCAGTATGTGCAAGTGCTATGCTTTTCTTTTACTATAACAAGAAGATTCTGATGCGCATGGAAGAAAAGGGAAGGGAGATTTATTACCCAAAAAAGAAAAAAAGAGGAAAGGTCCAGTAGAATTATTTATAATACTCAGTATTTATATTTTTGATATGAAATTATCAATTTTCTTTTATATTATGTACATAGTAATTATTCATTAATTATATAAACAATAAATTAGGACCAGAGGTAGTATGATTTATTATGTTGGCAAAAAAATATATTATTTACAAATTTATTATTTCAAAAAAATAACAATAAAAATATACTTTTTATGTAATTATCATATTAATTTATGTTCTTTGTAGTCAGCTGCACATCAAAAAAATGTTTTTAATAACAACCATCGAGACACCCTTCTTTATCAAAATCACTTTTTTTTAAAAACAAAATCTATTCTTAAACTTTTTTTTTAATAAACTATTCTCTTAATCATGGTTTAGTTTTACTAAATATCCTCCCAAATCGGCCGCCCAAAAAGTTGGAGGGGCAACTTTAAGGGGGTCACACGATAGCAAGTTTCCTTCTGGTCGCTGATGGACTGCTGAGAAGATATTCCCTCCCTCTGTTCCTTAGACGTGGCATCCTGCAATATGCACGTAATAAAATGCACTAAGCACTATGCAGTTCACACATTCTCATTACTTTATTTAACTACCTCACTGGCTATTTGCAACTTACAGCGATAATTTCAACAGCGGCACTCAGAACATTACTATCATCACTGTGATAGGTGGTATCCAACGACTCTTTCTTGGACATATGTATCTTCTCCCGTGTAACTACATGTATACATAATACATTAGTTACTGGCTGATTAAATGCAATGTTTTGTTAGCTGAGACAACATATGCATTACATGCACACATAATGGGAACAAATGTTGGGGTACTGTGTTCCTTGGTGAGGTACAAGATAGGGAAAAAAATGACAATCCCTCCAAAACAACATAATGGCGTCAATAACACTCAGATAAAGTTATTGGTTAAGATTGAATAAGTAGTTGTCCACTTCACCTTCTATCCCGCCACCTCCCCCGCGTAGAAGACAGAGTACTCTTGTCCCACTCCACAACCGATCCAAGTTGTCAGCCACATTAAACAGCAGCCTCGAGTTTTCAAAACCAAGTCTCTGCTGAACTTCTTCAAAACTAAGTAAAGGAGTTGAATTCGCTGCTGCAATGGTAGCACCAGCTGTGTTATACTCCCTTTATCATATTTATAAGAAATAAATAACAAATTCTGAAGGATACTAATAGCTAAAGGAGTTGAATTCAATAAATATGTTTCAAATGTAGAGCTCATCCCCAAATGTCCTCATTCAATAATTAATTATTGGGTTTCACTATTTGATCTCAATAATAAATACAATTTTTTTTTATCTGGATAAAAAAAAGAAAATTGTAACGAATGTTTGAGAAAATCTCTAAAACAAAAGTATGAACATATGAAATCCCAAGTTAGACAGCTAACACTTAGAAATAACAGGGAATGAAGCGACGCCTCACCAGATATTTTGGAAATATTGTGAAATTACCCATATGCTTTTTTTGTGAAAAAAAAAAGAAGTTAGAAAACTCATCATTTCTAGTTCAATATTTGCCAGTGTAAGCTCAACACTTGTTATTTCCAACTCACAACTTGTTAATTAACTAACTAAAATAATAGCAAATAAAAAAAAAAACCAAACTTATCATTTTCAGATCAATACTTGTCATTTTCAGTTCTATTAATGCCATTTATAACTGTTTGCATTCCTAATGTGTTCTAACAGCGGTCTGTCACCGACAACCGCTGTAAGTGACACTGAACTTTTCTCTAAACATGGACCTCTTACATAGTGGTAGTAGAGGCCGCACCGTCACAAGTTTTGCATAATCACCACTATTGTCCAATCTTGCACACACCGCTTCTCTCTTTTTTTCCGCTTCAATCTTTATCACTCCTCTCAAACGTGTTTTTTGTAACAATCATAATGATAATTGATTCACCATAAAAGTATGGGATGTATCCATAACTTCTAGAAATTAACCTCTAAGCAAGAAAACCGACAAGTTTGATTAGGAGATAGCATTGCAAGCGTCAAGTAGTTCCAAGAACTTACCACCCAACATTCTAAAATTGTAATGGCTCCCCATACAAGGGTCCCTTTTTCATTATATTGGTGAAGTTTTCCCAAGATTATGACTGACATTCAGCCATTAAGATCAGTTACATTGATATCTACTAATTAGCGCATATTCGATCAGTATACGATAACAATACATACACATAAACTGATATATGGGCCAAAAAAAGAAAAGGAAAAAAAAGAAAAAGAAAAAACATGAACCGATATATTCATTTATGTAACTGATAAAGATATTGTCCTGCAAAAGATGGAACATAGATCTATGCCTGCAGGCATACTTTCATTAATTTCAAAGACTCAAAATTTGACTCAAACTCAACTAGCAAATTAGTTAGAATATTTATCAATAAAAGAGCATTCATCTTCACAAGAAATTGCAAGCTGGAATCATACTTCTTGTGTTTACATAAAGCACATAAAAATCTAAATTAGCTCTATTAATAACTGAATTCATGAATCAAACTTGACAGGAAATTATTTGAGTCTAGTTGAGAAGGGGTGTAAAAAACACAGGATAATTTTGCAGCAAAGGGTAACAATTTTAGCATTGAGCGAAAAACCGGTTTCAAGCAAGCAAAGAAACTGATTTCATTTATATTAATAACTCATTATTAAAGTGGTCTGCCAGCAAGAACGCATCCCTCAAGCGATGAACAAGATACAAGCAAGGTGATTAAATCAAGCTAGAGAAAAAGATGGTACCTTTCATCAGTGTGAGCAACTCGCTTTCCCAGTAATCTGATGTGTCCTGAAAACAGATTATATAGTCATTCCTCATCGTTTCAACCTGAGACAGAGAGATATCAGGGTCTGTGAACCGCATATTTTCAATGCTGCTGTTTTCTTCCTCATAGACATGAATTCCAGACCAATCTATTTCGATTGTTGGGGTTCCATTGTCGTCCGAAATTACCCGAGGATCATATGGCCTGAGGTATTTCAACTCCCACGAAACATGAACATGATTCCATTTATGAGTTGAAATCACCCTATTGTGTTTGCATCGCAAGCCACACCAAATCATATGTTTTGCCATTTTTCGTTCACAAACTATGTAATTACCCAAATAAACAAGTTGTTCAGAACCATTGACAAACACTCTCAGCCTAACGTCCAAGATTGAGTAGTCTATTTCTGTGCCTGATCCCCCAATCACATATATGCCTATCTTTGGGAAATTCTCACAGAACCAGAAAGAAACTGATGATTCCCTGCTTGCATAGAAGGCTGTTAATATTGTCTTTTGGTTCTCAATCACTGGGAGGATAGTAGAGCGGCCCCTAAAAGGAGGAAATCCGATGCTAGTGCTGGAAAGCCGAACAAAACTAACCGAAGTTTCTAGAAGAGGAAATATTTGAAAGAAATTTGTTTCGCTTTTGCTTATACAGTAACCATTAAGGTAAAAATCGAACTGAGCGTCCCTTGTGCTTTGATTGCTAGAATCTGGTAGAGAATAGAGTTGAATCGTGGCAAAAGACACTTCTGGCCTCTGTTTTGCTTGAATTTCATACCCTCTAAATAATTGAAATCCTCTACTTCGGTAAGCCAGCACCACCTCGAGTTTGGGGATTGAGAATATGCTGCTTGGCAGCTGTCTAAGCTGTGGACAACGCCTCAAGTATAGCCGTTTCAATCCAATAAGGTTTTCAATTGAAAATGGAAGTTCTTTTATGGCAGTCTGATCCAAATAAATGTCTCTTATATTCTCCATGAGTCCCAGTACTTCTGGGAACTTCCAAAGCGTTGAGCAACCCCTGAGATCCAGAGTCTGAAGAGAAGTCAAATAGATGCGAGTTGCTAAGATTTCAAGCTGAGTGCAACCTTGGGCACTCAACAATCTGAGCTTATCAAGAAACCCGATTGATTCATGAACACTAATCAGATTTGTACAATTATCAAGACACAATGCTCCCAAGTTAGGCAGTCCAGATAGGTTAGGTACTTGTGTTAAGAATTTACAACCTTCAAAATCCATGAGACCTAAAGAATGAAACACCTGCAAAATGATCAAAATTAACTTACCACTAATATATAAGACCAGCAGAATATATGAACGTAGGTAGAAAAAATAAAATCTAATACATGCCTTTGATGGTTTAAAAATTTGAAGGCAGCATTCAGGTAGGCTGAGTATGACAAGTTTCCTGGGCTTAAAATCAGATGGTAAAGATGATGATGGATATCCTCTCCAGTCCAATACTCTCAAAGTATTAGGGAGATATTCGGGGCCCCTGGAGAAGTGTACATTTTCGATAATAAGGATTCTCAGGTTTTTCATCTTCTCGAATGCCACTCCACTCCATTGCACTTCTATATATTTGCATGAGTGAAGCATAATGACTTCAATTTTCTCAGTTCCCTTTGAATGCCAAAGCATAAACAAAACTCAGAGATTTATTAGGAATGTCATATCCATATTGTCACATTAACTAACTAACTAAATTTAATTTATAATACTTCTCCAGTCCTTAATATAGAACCTAATTGGGAAGTTGATATTGGTCTTATATACAAGACATATTTAACATGTTGATCAATTTTTTTTCAAGTTAACCCTATCGGTACTTCTTTAACAATAATCAAGTAGGAGAAAGAGCGAATTAAGGAAGATACTTATGTGTTTTTAGAAAAAACGTATCATATTGACTTATTTAACCAACATCATTAATCTACTCAAATTAGATAATTAGGTTTTATTTTAACGAGCAGAGGAGTATGTCGCACTTCAAGAAAATGTTGACAGCATGATAAAGTGGCAAGAAAAACTGTTTTTTTTTTTTTTAAAAAAACAACGGTCCGTTTCATCTTCACCGAAATAATTCATAAAAAGAAAAAGGTAAAACCATGGAGACCATTCTAATTTACCGTGTTTTCTTCCAAAACATGAACGATGTCCTCATCAAGCCACAACCTAGTACGCTTGCCAGGCTCAAATGTTGATTCCTGTCTAACAATTTCTCTGCCCATGTCCTGAATTAAGTCATGCATTCTCACACAATTTGAACTATCCATCTTGATGAGAGATTTGTCCATTAAGACTCTAATTCCAATGTCTCCGTGTAAGCCATGTGCATACAGCATTTCCTTGGTGTAAGTCAGTTCTAATTTATTAAAGAAACAAGCAATATCAAGGAAAGTTTCCTTCTCATTCTCTTCCAAACTATCATAGCTTACTTTCAGGATTTCATCGACCTCTTTACAAGGGATTCTTGCATACTTGTCTAGCTGAGAATTCCATTCTTCTATACTTCTACCAAATAGGTCAGACCCTATTACTTCCAAAGCCAACGGAAGGCCAGCAGCATAGGAGACTGCACGGTGAGAAACGTCCATGTAATCTGGATCAACCCTGTTATTCTTAAAGGCATTCCAGCTCAGCAATTCAAGGGATTTATTGAAATTTAGCCCCTTCACCTCATATAATTTTTGTACCCCATGAGCACTAAGCAAATGTTTATCTCTCGTCGTGATAATGATCCTACTGCCAAATCCAAACCAATCAGGTCGTCCGGCAAGTACCTGCAACTGTTTAAGCTTATCAATGTCATCAAGAATCAAAAGAACCTTCTTCAGGCAGAGCCTTCTTTTTATGATTGGAATTCCTCTATGAACATCTCCAAGTCTGAGATTTTTTTCTGCAACTACTTGAGAAAGTAGCGTCTCTTGAAGTTGCACAAGTCCATGCTTGCCAATAGCCTTCTCTCTAACATCAGCAAGAAAGCAGACACCTTCAAATTGATCACCGATGAGGTTATAAACAGCCCGTGCAACTGTTGTTTTACCTACTCCACCGATTCCACATATCCCTACCATGTTAACCCCCTTATCAGACCCAAGTTCCAGAAGTGAGATCACTTCTTGAACAGAAGATTCCAGTCCAACAGGGTGATTAGCTATGTGTAAAGGAACGCGATCGATCTTTTTGGATACCTCTTCAATGATCCCATTTATAAATTCATATTCAGGTTGAGATCTGCGACAGGGCAGAAAATCATGTGAAGTGAATCCAAAGTTAGTAGTCAAATTTAGTGTACACTCCCTACATCAGGATTTATTTTAGTTCCACTTTTTGAAGAAATAAGTATGAAAAAAAAAACAGAAAGTTGCGGTGAAATGTACCCATGTTGGAAATGCCAGCCAGATAGGTTAGCTGCCACACATAAAGCCTCCCTCCACTCCCTCACTTTCTCCTTGTTGGCTTGGAATCGATCATCGTGTTTTGCCAACGCCTGTCCGTAACTCCCACGCTGGTGTCGGACTTCTGATGGATCGACATCGTAGAAAACCGGCCAGACCAACCGACCTTCTCCTCTGACGCAGTGAAGTATGTTGACAAGTTCATCAAGGCAGAAAGTAGAGGATGCATAATTTTTGGAGAAAACGATGATGGCAATCCTCGATTGTCGGATGGCTTCGAGAAGAGCTGGAGTGATTTCTTCCCCTCTTTGGAGACCCACATCATCAATGAAAGTTAGAATACCCTTTAGCTTGAGAGCATTGTAGAGATGGCCAGTAAAATTGGTGCGGGTATCTTCACCTCTAAAACTAAGGAATACATCGTAAGTCCATTCACCGGAAAAGGAGGGGGATAGGAGCCCTTGACTTGCCATGATAAATAAACGCTGGGACTGGTACTGCTACTTTGCTAGGAACTACGGATGGCACTGGCGTCCGCTGAGAGACTCAAAGTTCGATAGGAGGGTAATCAATCAAAGTTTACTAACCTGCGGCAGAACTTACACAGCAGCAACGGCGATCTAGGAAGGAAGTTTCGTTTCATTTCTCTGTAATTATAATTCACCATCCACCACAACTTATCAGTTTCTATAGTTGAATGTGACAACTACTTTTCCCCACCAACGGTTGACTGAGAAGACTTGACCAAAAGACTTTTCCCTTATCTTTTTTTTTTCCCCTCCTCTTTTTTACTTCCAGCCCCTCCAAGTTCGAGTTAATTTCAAGAGCAACACAGGAGCCAGTGTTTGCCAGGAACTACGTATGCCTCTGAACTCTGATATCAGCTGAGAGACTCACAAGTTGAGAGCTGACAGAAAGATGAAAGGGTAGTAACCTGCCATGCAATTGTGGCATTACAGGGGCAAAACCCTCATGCATCACAATTTTTCGTTTTTCATGCTTCCGTCTTTTAATTTTCCTCTCAATCCTGGCTTCATATGTTCATGGCATGTAATCCTGGGGATAACTCCTTTTGGTTTGGGTGAAAGAATTCATGGAAATGGGGCCAAAATTAGTTTTATATATTTTTTTCAAGTAAAAATAAGCTAAATTTGCAAATATGGAGCCAAAATTAGTAATAAATTAAATTTGCAAATAGAACGACTTCCCTATGCTCAAATTCGACATTGATCCCTTTGCGTGCATGCAAGCGTTGAAAATGTATTAAAAAAAAACCTGTCACTTAGATAATTTGTTGAGAGTGACCATAATAATTTGAGTTTTTTTTTTAATTTTGAATTTCTGATAAATTTATATTCCTTAAAAATTACATATAATAAGTAAAGAATATGATTTGTTAAAGTTCATATATTAATATGGATATATGAATTTTTATTATGATTATTGTTCCTAACTCGGTAGCTCGTATGTGTTGTCGCTTAACAGATTTTTCTTTTGCTCATAACCAACAAAACTTTAATTTTAGTTGGTGCTTGATAATTCTTCATATCTTTTTTTTTTTTTGCCTGAAGATAATTCTTCATATCATGGTTACAGCAAACGTCGATATCCTTAAAATTTCTTAAAATCAAGAGACATTTTCTCAATACAATTTTATTTATATTACCAAATCAGCATTTTCTGTACAGACGAATTTTTCACCTAGGTTTTTTTCAAAATAATAATTCTCACCTAGATTCTTTATATATTGAACTTTGAAATTTACTTAAAGAACAAGATCTTCTAGGCTTTTCACCATTTTTATCACATTTTCATTGGTCATTGTTTACTTAAACATAGCTCTATTCAATTAATTTAAATATATTAAGAAAATTAAATTAATTAATTAATTATGAAACATATAAGGAAAAATTACAATCAACTCCTGCCTAAGAGAATTAAAAACAAAAAATCCTTGGAAATCATCAAATTATTCTAAAGTCCTAAGGGACCTCATTACAAAAAGATCCTTTAAAATCATCTTTTTTTAAAATATGCATTAACATCTGAAAATGTAGTAGTTAACAATTTAAGGTGTAATGATTAATAACTATTGCAGCAGCTATTTACCACTCATGTATTACATTTTTGTGATGCGTTGAAACAATTTGTTATTAATACCTACAGCGATAATAGTTAATCGTTACCTTTTAAATTGATAATGACTGTTCTTTCAGTTGTCAATTCATACTTTTAAAAAAGGGCAATTTGGGACTTCAAAATAATTTGATGATTTCAAAAAATCTTTTTATATTTAATTCTCTTGAGTGAAACTTTACTGCAATTTTCTCGAAATATAATATAAATTTGTAAATTGCAAGATACTCATGTATAACAATAAATTATACTCTTCCGGTCTTAAGTATAAGATCTATTTTATAGTATAAATTATACTATAAAATGGATCTTATATTTAAGATTGGAGGGAATACTATGTTCGGTTCTTAGTATAAGACTCAGTTCATTAATTTGAAAAAATTAAAGAAGTTATTATATTACTTTAAACTATTTGTATTTATCATTTTTCTCCACACAAATTTGCCTCACTTATAAATTGATATATGATCTAATGATCTACATAAACTTTTTTAGAGAATCACGTAACATGTGATATAATTAAATAATTTAGTAACTTTCTTAATATTCCTAAATTACTGAACTGAATCTTATATCAAGAACTGTTGGTAGTATAAGCTTATAAGTTAAGTAAATTAATTTAAAAATAATAATAAATATAAAAAAATGTTATATTTAACGTTAAGTGCAAATCCCCAGCTGTAAAGAATGAGAGTATCTCAATACGAATGAAGCATGGGACCGAATCCGTTGGAACGCTTTATTTCTTTTTTTGGGGACCGAAGACAAAATGATATTCATAATAAATTCAAACCAATTGATACACTGCGAACCTGCAAAATCCACCAAGAATATCTTATTTATATATGCATTATCTTCAATACAAGAACTAGTTTAATATTTAAATTAGTTTTAAATTTAAGACTTCAATTTACTTTATTTCTTATATTTATCTATTTTTTCATAAAGTAGTTTTTGTAGTAATTACACATATTAAATATTTTACCAGATGATAATTCTAACTAATAGATATGATTAATAAGGATATTTTAAGAAAAATAACATCTATTTATTACAAATAACTAACTTAAATAATTTTTTTAATCTACTCAAATAAGTAAAATACAAAGTCATCCATTTTAGTATAATATTCGTTCGTTTTGGGTGATGAGCAATTAAGCCCTACCCGCAAACTTATTATTGACCATCCATTCCATAATTAAAATTAATGCATTATTAAATAAAACCATCACTTACATGATTTTAAATTGAACCTTTTACTATTCAAGTGATTATGATATGCTTAAAACTGAATCACTGGAGTCGTTACACCTAAAATCAGCAAAATATGCTTAAACTTTATTCTTGCATTTCTTAATTCACACATACGTCTTATATATGAAGAGGATGGCCTTAATCTGTTAATGACTTTAAGCATACAAATTTTTCGATTGGTTCGGCACATGAGATGTCTAATTAAATTATTATTAATCTAAGAATGTTCATCCCTTTAATAGATTATTCTTCATCTTCATTATATCGATATTAATATTTAATACTCTACTTCAACTTATTCTTTTTACAGGATACAAGTGATCGAATTATATGTGATTAAAATTAATTAAAAGTAGTAAATATCTAAAAAACGCACCTTATCTTTTAAAAATACTTTTTTTTTCAGAGGGAGGTAGTGTGAGATAATTAATGTAGTAAGATTAACAAATAATTAACGAGGTAAAAATAAAAAGAATTATATTAAAATTTTTGATAAATTATTAATGTCTTTTAAAAATGAAAACATTCCATTCTAAAATTTTTCAGCCAAAAGTATATATTTGGTGTAAGATTTGAATTTGATCCATTAACTTTAAAATATATTTTTAGTTTTTTAATCTTAAAATTATTATCAATTTTAAGTGATGATTTTTTTCGAACAATTATGGTTATTTTAAAATTTAAATTTAATATGTTAGTATCTTAGAATATTTTAATCAACATTTAAAATCTCAATGTCATTAACTTTTTGTTGATAATTTTTAAATTAAATGATTAAAAATATATTTTTAAAGTTAACAAAACAAATTAAATCCTTACGTAAAATTAAAAAACTATAAATGTATTTTTTGCGAAATTTTCTATGTAAATAGGACAAAAGTATTAATTATGGAAATGTAACAGATTTTGTCGAAACGAAAACCGTTAGTTGTTAGAAAATTATAATTCGAAGTTGCGTACTCTTAACAAATGAGTTTTGTAAAGAAAAAGTCTGGCAGTTGACTTGATGTTTTTCAATTTTATTCCTATTTGTTGACTTAATAAATTTATAGAAAGATAAAACAAATAAATAAGAAAAAATATAAATCATATTCTTAATAGTTTTTTTAATAAGGGCAAATATTAAAAAATTATTAATTTTGTTTGTATACAAGGGACTTATAAACAGTGACCGTGTGATAAATAAATAGTGAAAAACTAAAATTTAAGTGATGAAAATTACCTCAAAAAAGAAAATGGTAGGCAAAAGGTGTTAGTTGAAATACGCGCACCAATCTCCTCAGCCTTATATTGATAATCGATTCCTTCTCACGTTTGGCTTGGGCATAAGCTGGCCTGTTCCTGTGTGAAGAAGTAATAAGTAACTGTGTAGTTGATAAGATAAGTAATTTTATGCGTTCAAATCATTATTAAATACTAATAATTAATTATCATCATATTCAAAGTTTTCCTAATCATTTCCCATTCATTCCGCGTTGCTTATATCTAAACCACTAAAATCGTTTATCTGCATGATCGACTTCGGTTTTTACCCTAATATAATATTTGCACTCTAATCAAATTTCACCTGAGCAAAATCCCTTTGGTATCAACGAGTTTGGGCAAACTTACTCGTACACCTAGCATTTAGATTTTATAGTGTTGGAATATGTTTAATACTCCCCTTATTTTTCATTTTTTTATAATATTCTTCTAGTCCTATTTATAAATCATTCACAGCATATTTTGTTAAAACAAAAATAAATAAATATCATTAACTATGTCTTAAAATTTAATAAATTTTAAATTTTACCTATAGGAACCAAATTTACAGAATAATAAGTTAAAGGTAAAATTCTACATTCATACAAAAAATTTAAATACAACAAAATTTCAGAATGTGACTTATAAATAACACAAATTATTTTCAATAGTATTTTGAAATTCTATTTATAAGAAGTCATAGAAAATTAGATATAATATTTTTTAAACCAAAATCCCAAACAATAGTTCTAATATTCTTTAGGTATCAAAGAGTTCAGTTAAAATTGCTCTAATATTAATTTTTATTAAGATGAAAATTCTTGTAGATATCAATATTAGTGCGCACTCATATCACATTGATTAGATATAATAAATGAATCTACAAATTAAACCTAACCACCAGTCATTTCTAAAAATCAAGGCTTTTCAAAATAGCTCGGTTTTTGAGAGCTCTTTCAGTTCTTGCAATAAGCAAAACTCAGAGCTATAATGGAGCAATGTATCATCAACTTGAAACTCTTGAACAATACCATTCACTTCAACCCAACTACAACCAGGCTTTCTTCTAACCTTAGTAGTTCTCATCAGCTTCCTTACTTCTAACGCCTCTTTCCACATGTTTGCAACATAATAAGCATTCCACAGAAGCATATGAAGACCATCATCACTTGGTTCTAGCTCAATCACCATCCTTCCTGCTATTACAGCCTAGTTCAAGTTCCCATGGACTAAGCAAGCTGTGAGGAAGGACCTTCAGATTGCAGCATCAGGTTCAATAGGCATCATTTCAATCACATCTTTTGCTTCTTCAAGAAACCCTGCTCGGCCAAGAAGATCAACTAGGCATCCATAATGCTGAATGTTGGGTTTCAAATGATGGTAATGACTCATTCTGTTGAACAACATTTTTCCCTCAAGGACTAATCCTAAATGACTACAAGCTGTCAAAAGTGACAAAAGGGTAACCTCATTTGGAGTTACCTTTGATTTCAACATTTGAGAGTATGCCCCCCAAGAGCTTGAACTGGAGCTCCTCCTTTAACATAACCAGTTATCGTTGATGTCCAAGAAACCGCACTTCTTTCAAGCATTTCGTTGAGCAATTGACGTGCAGAATGCACATCATTGGACAAAATATACCCATTAAATAGAGTAGTCCAAGCAAAGATATCCTTTAATCTCTTTCTTTCGAAGACTAAGACTGCCACTTCAATTTTCCCATTTTGACACTACATATCAACCAGTGCATTACCCACAATAGAATTCACGTCTAAATGATTCCTTAAGATCATCCCATGAATGGCCCTTCCTCTGATCAAATCCTTGCCACGACCACATGACAATAAAGCTTCGACAACCAAAAAGCTGTCCGGTCTGAATCCACTGTCTATGTAAAGGGAAAAGACAGCAAGGGATTCGGCGGGAAGATTAGAGTGGAGGTGGAGATTAAGGAGGGATGTCCAAGACACAATGTCTGGACGTTGAATCTGGTTGAAGATATTTTGAGCGTCTCGTAGCTTGCCCAGATTCTTGTAAGTTTCTAAAAGATTGCAAGCCAAAGACTGGAAATTGGGTAGAATTCCAAGCGTCACAGAGAGGGCATGGATTCGCTTGAGCTGCTTAAAGCTGACAGATGATTATAAAGTGAGAAACTCGTCAGTATTAGAAATGAGTCAACAACGCAGATATTCATAGAAAATGTGAATGATAATGACATAAATTGAGTAGAAATCTAATTTATAAATTTTTGACATTACATGGATATTGAGCTCTTTGGAACACTTGGTAAAAACTAGGAGCAATAGTTACCCTTAACGAATATTGTCTTACTCATGCTCAATTCTCCTAAAGTAAATAAGATCCAGAACAAAGAGATTATCCTTGCCATCAACCCTATATAAAAAAAAAATACTGGATCTCAACCATTTTGTTGAAAGTATAAGGATATAAAATTGCCCACTTGCTTCATATAAAGCTCCCCTGCGCATGTAAAAATCCCTGCACATCTTACTCTTGCACACCATGTCTGATACTTGATACATTCACGAGATGCCTCCACAATGCAAGACTGTAGTTCACACAGGATTTGAGAGAAGTTACGCTTTGATGATTCAGGGGTAATAAGATTGTAGTTTACATAGTTGACTTGCTCGTTGGTCTTGTAAATCCCTTCAAGCAGCGCGCTGAAGAAGACCAATATAATTATCAATCGTCAGTATCAAGAACCTTGGACTTCCTTCCGAGGAGGGATGAATTGTGCCAGCTAACACCTCCATCTGCTCAAGCTGGTCATGCCATTCCCACAAGTTTGCGGGTTTGAAAATCCAGAGCACTGTAGGAATTCGGCTACACTTCGTCGGTGACTGCGAAGTTAATCATTCTGAGAAGCTCCATTTGTTGTCGTATAACGTATTGTTGTCTTGCAATTTATTTGGGTCCTCGCAGAGTCCCTTTCTTTTCTTTGTATAGACGGGATCGTTGATGGCGAAATGAGGAAATTTACTGCTTCCTTCGCGGTTCAGTTTTTGATATAAGACTTAATTGCGTAATTTAGACAAATTTAAAGAGTTATTAAATCACTTAATTATAATATTTGTTACATGATCATGATCATGTATTATTAGATTAAATATTACTCCTTTGGTCTTTAATATAAGATTTAATTGTTGAATTGATTTTGGTCTTAAATATAAGACCTATTTCTCATATTTATCAATTTTTTTCTAAAGTACCCTTATAGAAACCTCCCAACCATAGTCAAGTAGAAAAGAGAGAAAAGATATTAAAAAAGATTATTATGGTGCTTTAGGAAAACATGTCATATTTTTTATAATTAACTTACCTAACTTTCTTAATCTAATCAAATTAGTTAAATAAGTCTTATATTAAGGACTAAAGAAGTAATTTATAAGAGTAACAAATTAATCCTTTAGTCTTATTTATAAAGAAGAGAGATGCAGTTTTTTTTTAGTTTTATTTATAAGTCAATTCATTAAATTTTTATTATGAATATACTACTAGGTCCTTCAATTATTATAATATAGAAGGTTAATTTTTTTTAAACATGTATATATTAAATGAGATAAAGTTGAAAATTTATTATATTTTAATAGAGAGTTAATATAATACATGTGAAACATGTTGGGAGTGTCATATAAATAAAACAAGAGAAGTAATTTGGAGAAAACTAAATAATAAATATAAATATTTTAAGATAATTTATTAACTTCTTTAATTTTTTTAAATAAGTTAATTTATTAACTTCTTTAACTTTTTTAAATAAGTTAAGTTAGTTTTATATTAAGGAGGTGTTTGGTAAACTTAAAAAAAAACTTTTAGGTTTTAAACCGGTTTGGCTTAAAACCATAGTTTTAGTATGAGAAACTAAGGTCTCCGAAGAAATGAAAAATTTTCGCTTTTTTGTGTTTTTGGGACAGGTGGAGAGAGAAAATTTGGTTTTCTTTTATCATAACAAGAAGATTCTGACGCCTATAAAAAGCAGAGGGAAGGTGTGTTGCCAAAAAAAAAAAGAGGGAAGGTTCAGTGGAGTTATTTATAGTGCTCACTATTTATAATTTTAATATGAAATTATCAATTTTCTAAAAATGTATTTAATTTTATTTTTATTTACATAGTAATTATTCATTAATATAACTAATAAATTAGGACCAGAGGTAATATGATTTATCATGTTGGTAAAAAAATTATTTAAAAATTTATTATTTCAAAAAAAATATAAATTAAAATATATCTTTTATATAATTATTACATTAATTTATATCTTCTGTAGTAATCTGCACATCAAAAAGTATTTTTAATATCAACTATTCAAACACTCTTATTTTATCAAAATTATTTTTTTTACAAAAACTATTCTCAACATAATGTTTTTTTTTTTCTAGAATCTATTCTTTAAATCATAAAGTTGTTCTAAACATCTTTAGGATATGTTTGGTACGAGATAAATAAAGAAAAAGGGAGGGGAGGAAAAATTTTGATGAGCTCATTTTAAAAAATTGAAGAAGTAGGGTTATAAAATTTTGATAAGAAGAACATGTAAGATAAAAGAATAATTAAAATAAATCAAAAAAATTTTAACTCCACTTCTTCAATTTTTTAAATGAGCTCATCAAAATTTTCCCTCATCTCCCTTGCCCTCCGTTTTTTTTGTACCAAACGACGCCGCCGCTCAATAAGTTCGTCGGTCAATCCAAAGAGGGTCACCCGATAGCAACGTTCCTTCTGGTGGCTGATGGACTGGTGAGAAGATATTCCCTCCCCCCGCTCCTTAGCCGTGGCATCCTGCAACATGCACGTAATAAAATGCACTAAGCACTATGCAGTTCAAACATTCTCATTACTTTATTTAACTCCCTCACTGGCTATTCCCAACTTACGGCGATAATTTCAACAGCGGCACCCGGAACATCACTATCATCACTGTGACAGGTGGCATCCACCGACCCTTTCTTGGACATATGTATATTCTCCCGTGTAACTATATGTACACATAATACATTAGTTACTGGATGATTAAATGCAATGGTTTTGTTAGCTGAGACAACATATGCATTACATGCGCACACAATGGGAACAAATGTTAGGAGTACTATGTTACTTGGTGAGGTACAAGATAGAAAAACAATGATAAAATCCCTCAAGCTGGGGGCAACACCCAACACAATATCGTGGCGTCAATAACGCTCAGATAAAGTTATTGGTTAAGATTGAATAAATAGTTGTCCACCTTACCTTCTATCCCGCCACCTCCCCCGCTTAGAAGCCAGAGTAGTCTTGTCCCACACCCCAACCGATCCAAGTTGTCAGCCACATGAAACAGCAGCCTCGAGTTTTCAAAACCAAGTATCGGCCGAAGTTCTTCAAAACTAAGTAAAGGAGTTGAATTCGCCGCTGCAATAGTAGCACCAGCTCTGTTATACTCCCTTTATCATTTTTATAAGAAATAAATAATAATTCTGAAGGATACTAATAGCTAAAGGAGTTGGATTCAATAAATATGTTTCAAGTGTACAGTCCTTTTCCCCGATGTCCTCATTCAATAATTAATTATTGGGTTGTAATGAATGTTTGAGAAAATCTTTAAAAAAAAAGCATGAATACATGAAATTCTAATTCAGGCAGCTAACACTTCAAAATAATAGGAAACGAATTGAGCCTTGACTGACATTTTGCAAATGTTGTGAAATTACCCAAATATGACAAAAAAAAGTTACAAAACTTATCATTTCTAGTTCAATTTGTGAATGTCAGTTCAACATTTGTTATTATTTTAGTTCAACAACTTGTTAATTAACTAACTAAAATAATAGAGGAAAATTTTTTATCAAACTTATCATTTTTAGTTATATTAATGCCATTTATAACTGCTTGCATTCCTAATGTGTTTTAGCAGCGGTCTGTCACCGACAACCGCTATAACAGACACTGAACTTTTCTTTGAACATTGGACCTCTTACACAATTAGCGGTAGTAAAGGCCGCACCGTCACAAGTTTTGCATAATCACCACCATCGTCCAATCTTGCACACTTCGCGCTTTCTTTCTTATTTTTTTTGGCTTCAATCATAATGACAAATATTTACTACAAGATGGGAACGATTGATTCACCATAAAAGTATGAGATGCATCCATAACTTCTAGAAATTAACCTCTAAGCAAGAAGACCGACAAGTTTGATTAAGGGATAGCATTGCAAACGTCACGTAGCTCCAAGAACTTAACACCCAACATTCTAAAATTGTAATGGCTCCCCATACAAGGGTCCCTTTTTCATTATATTGTTGAAGTTTTCCAATAAAGATTATGACTGAAATTCAGCCATTAGGATCAGTTACATTGATATCTTCTGATTAGCACATATCCGATCATCATATGATAACAATACATACACATAAACTGATATATGGGCCAAAAAAAGAAGAGGGAAAAAAAAAGAAAAAGAAAAAACATGAACCGATATATTCATTTGTGTAACTGACAAAGATATTGTCCTGCAAAAGATGGAACATAGATCTATGCCTGCAGACATATTTTTATTAATTTCAAAGACTCAAAATTTGACTCAAACTCAATTAGTAAATTAGGTGGAATATTAATCAATAAAAGAGCATTCACCTTCACAAGAAATTCCAAGCTGGCATCATACTTCTTGTGTTTACATAAAGCACATAAAAATCTAAATGAGCTCTATTGATAACTGAATTCTTGAATCAAACTTGACAGGAAATTATTTGAGTCTAGTTGAGAAGCGGTGTCAAAAACACAGGATAATTTTGCAGCAAACGGTAACAACTTTAGTGTCGAGTGAAAACCGGTTTCAAGGCAAGCAAAGAAACTGATTTCATTTACGTTAATAACTCATTATTAAAGTGGTGTGCCAGCACGAACACATCCCTCAAGCGATGAACAAGATACAACCAAGATGATTAAATCAAGCTAGAGAAAAAGATGGTACCTTCCATCAGGTTGAGCAACCCGCTATCCCAGTAGGACGATGTGCCCTGAAAATAGATTATATGGTTATTTCTCATCGTTTCAACCTGAGACAGAGAAATATCAGGGTTTGTGAACCGCATATTGTCAATGCTGCTGCTTTCTTTCTCATAGACATGAATTGCAGACAAATCTATTTCGATTGTTGGGATTCCATTGTCGTCTGAAATTACCCTACGAGGATCATAAGGCCTGAGGTATTTCAACTCCCACGAAACCTGAACATGATTCCATTTATGTGTTGAAATCACCCTATTGTGTTTGCATCGCAAGCCACACCAAATCATATGTTTTGCCATTTTTTGTTCATAAATTATGTAATTACACAAATAAACAAGTTGTTCAGAACCATTGACAAACACTCTCAGCCTAATGTCCAAGATTGCGGGCTCTATTTCTGTGCCTGATGCCCCAATCACACATATGGCTATCTTTGGGAAATTCTCACAGAACCAGAAAGAAACTGATGATTCGCTGCTTGCACAGCAGGCTCTTAATGTTGTCTTTTGGTTCTTCAACAATGGGAGGGTAGTAGGGCGGTCCCCAAAAGGAGGACATCCGATGCTAGTCCTGGAAAACCGAGCACAACCAACCGAAGTTTGTGGAAGAGGAAATATTTGAACGAAATTTGTTTCGCTTTTGCTTATACAGTACCCATTAAGGCAGCAATCGAAATTAGCGTACCTTATACTTTGATTGCTAGAATCTGGTAGAGAATAGAGTGGAATCGTGGCCAAAGACGCTTCGGACCTCTGTTTTTCTTGAATTTCATACCCTCTAAATAATTGAAATCCTCTGCTCCTGTAAGCCAGCACCACCTCGAGTTTGGGGATCATGGATATGCTGCCTGGTAGCTGTCTAAGCTGTGGACAACGCCTCAA